ACTTTAGGTGAAAAAAATCATGGTTTTGGTATGCGCCAATGGACTTGCCTCACGTTTAAAAGCAACGATTTGTTGAAAACGTTGCTTTTCTTTGAATGGAATATAGTTATACAGTAATAACGAAAAATTTAATATTTTATTTATTTTATTTCAACATTTCATACTTTTTTCAAAAGCTACAATGAAACAAAAAATAAATTTAATTTTATAGGAAAAAGTGAAGAAAATAATAAAAAATATTTAGTAATAAGTTGCATGCATATAATTATATTTCTTAGTTTAGATGGTGCAGATTTTTAAAGTATTCAGGATAAATGGGTGGTACATAGTGTAATAAATCCATCATATCTTCATATTTTTCTTTAGAGTGGACTTGCCTCACTTTCAAAATTAACTCACTGTAAATATCATTGACGATATAAATTACTAGTAACAAATTTATATTGATATCAAAAGATATTTAATGTGAATTAATTAAAAACATAAATTTTATGTTAATTTGTAATAAGAATTAGCTTTAAATATTTTTTTCACAAAATGGACTTGCCCAACTTTCAAAATCAATGGCTCAAATATTGAAAATTGACAAAGAAATTTCAAAATATGGATAATACTGTATGGATAAAAACCTAATTAATTTATTAAACTTTTATTTTAAAATTAAAAAATATACTTATCCAAATTTTATTCAATATCTTTTGCAAAATTTGTTTGTTATAAATATTAATATATCAACATTCCAATAACCTGATGTATATTTGTTAGTTAGGTGTTTAGGATAATACTTTCAAAATGAAATGGAATAAAATAAGAGATAATAACATTCTAGATAATTATTATTATTATTATTATTTTTTGAAATTCTGACAAAATCATCATTTACATATTGTATAATTAATACAACTGATGAAATAAAATAAAATGTAGAGACATTAAGACCAAATTACAATAAATAATTTAGTGCTTTTGAATATGTAATAAATATCTTTGTTAGAAATCATAATATAATAATGTCAGTGAAATGTTGCATAATTCACTAGTATGCTCAAATGTAATATCAAAAACTAGTAATTAAAATGATTACCGGTATTTTTAAATTTCTGATACCTTCAGTTTAACTTATATTACTATTTTCTAATATTTTTACTGAAAATCCTCATAGTATGCAGGAATATCATATTATCTAGAAGTTCATTTTTGTAGCATTGATTGAGAAGCACTGATTTCTAGCAATTGAGTTTAATATCATAGTTTTTCAAAAAGCAAAGAAAACTGTGATTGAAATAAATTTATTTTGAACTCAATGAAATTATATACAATAATTTATGATATGAAGGTAATTTAAAATATAAGTGATAATATATTTTAAAATAATTCCTGGACTGTCAGGAAATTACTCATACAAGGAAAGAGGAAGTTAAAAAATCTTTAGACTTAATAGAAATGTTAAAGTTTTACAAGAGGAATAAACATTTCATTTAATAATCAATAATATCTTTGCACACTTTTCAGTCTTTCAGTACCAAACCAATATTTGGATACAAGAACAATAAATTTAGTTAAAAAAATAAAAATTTATTTCAATAAAAAAGAAATAACCGATGAGATATTTAAATTAAATGAAATCAAGAGTTGTTATGCAAATTTGGAAACTACTAAATTATATTACTTTTTGTTTTAAATTATTATTGATCTTTATTCATTTTTCTAACATACAGTAGCATACATGGGGCATACAGTATGTTAGACCAATGATTCCCAATTAGTGGTACGTGTACCCCCAGGGATATGCGAAATTGCATGAAGGGGTACGCACGGCAATCTAAAATCGGTTAATTTAAAATTTAAATGCATGAGATGAAACAATTAAAAAATAATGGGTGGACCATCAAAAATTCGGCAATTTACAACATGATGTTGAATGCACAAATTCGTTTATTTATAACAAAATATTCTCAAAATTTCATCAAAAAAATGCATTTGCGACAATACCTAAATGAAATTCTTACGCAAGAAACAAAAAATGTACAATTAACACAATTTGTTTTTGCGAAATTAATTTTGAAAATTTTTGTTGGTGTTGCAAATAACTCCACCAACCACCTTCCCATCTCTGACCAAGAGGAATTAAATTTATAGACATTTCATGTAACAGCAGACTCAAGAGTTGTTTTGCAGAGTAATCATTGAGTAATTTTTGAGACATTTATCATGTCAGCGAAGCAGAAATAATATATTTACTACCATTTTGCACAACATACCTCTGCGAGAGCAGATTTTCGGCCATGATAAACATGAAAACTAAACATCATCACCGACTTCAACTCAAAGATGACTTGAGATTGAAGCTGACCAAAAAGCAACCAGATTTTACAAAGTTGTGCAAAGAAAATCGTGCACATTTGTCGCATTAAAATTAAATAACCTTATGTTATTTTCATTATTATTAGAATAGTATCTTAAAGGTAATAAATGTAAAAAAAACTTATTTTATTTATTGCTAGACATCTATCATTACCCACAGCTTCTCCCGCATTATATTGAATTTTCTCGCAGTAAAATGTAACCTATGTCCATCTCCAACATGTAAGCTATCTCTGTGCCAAATTTTATTAAAACCTGTTCAGCGGTTTAGACATGAAAAGGTAACAGACAGACTTACCTTTGAATTTATAATATTAGTATGGGTTAATATGAATTTCTGCTATAAGGGGTATGCGAGCTTGAGCTCTTTCTTGAAGTGGTACGCAGGAAAAACTAATTGGGAACCACCACTGTGTTAGACATATTATAAAGATCAATAATAAATAATTTACATAAAATAGAATTGGATCACCTATGATATACACCAAAAAGCATTCAAAAGATGTGCAAAGTTGCATATTTAAATTATAATTGCAATTTGTAATATTAAGTTATGTTGTACAGAGAAGAAACCAAGAGGAATAAACTAAAAAGTGCATTTTATTACATAAAATACTTCGTTGAACTTAAGTGTTATTTTACACACCATAGCTTTTGTGAATACTGTTAATGAGCATTGTCACAAAAACTTGTCATTCATAGTTATAGAAATAAAAAAAGGGTATAAGTATGCTTTAAAATATAACATGATTAACTATTACTTATTGAATGGGATCTGAATACTTATTAAAAGCTTTGCCACACACTGTCATAAAGTAAACGAGTTTATTCAAGTATTCTGTATCAGCTTGTGATATCTAACTTTTCTAACACATTTATGCAGTTGCTATTTACATGTATTTTCTAACTTTTTTTTTGCAACTTTCATGCTCATAATATGTCAGCAGTTTTCAATAGGGTTAAGATCAGGACTTTAACCTGGTAAACCATCTGATCTGAGTCATTTGTAGGAACATTTTTTTTACCTAAATAGCAATTTACGTAAAAAATCCTGGGCCTACATACATGCATACGCCACTTCACAACACACGTATCACATTGCATGCACGACTTCAAATACATTTGAAAATCAGTTGCTTGTTCTTAATGGTTTATCAAGTATTTTAATTTGAAAATATTTGTTCTGTTTTTCTCAGTATATTCTGTACGTTCTTTTAAAACATTTATTCGCCTGATGACGATGATTATAAATTCATCGAAAGTATTGCGATAAAAAAGCATTTTTAATGCAGTGAATTTCCCAGTGAGTTCTCCATCCTACTATACAATATTTGGTGTGAGTATTAATCTATAGTATACTAAGCAACTTGTATGTCAATTTAAGTAATCATAACAATAATGCTAACAAACTGTAGAAAAAGAACACATTCTACTTTATCCACCATCTTGATGCATTGTCATCCTGAAAGATGCAGGGTTTCATGTTACAAAATTGTTCCTTGATTTTTGAGATTAGCTTGACAGATAAGATTTTTATATAGAAATCTATTCACAGACTCATAAAGTGTAGTCTTTGACTCACTAGAAACTTTACTGTCTGCATCAGGTTGCCCTTTTCTTAATCCCAAGGGAGTTCCTCTGGGATTAAGAAAAGGACAACCTGATGACAAACCTAAGGCTTCATTTTATTTTTAAATTAGTTATTCATTTTAATCACAGAAAACTTTTTACTAATGACAAAATTAAGATAAAAATATTTTTTATTAACCAAAAATTTGTTCTAGTGGGTTGTGATTGGTCGAGTACTGAGGTACCATTGTATTTGATTAATGTGATTTTGATATACATGGTTATTGCAGGATTAATCAACTACATTAATCAATGGATATATATATACAGGTATCTTCTTGCATAATATACATACAATGCACTTATTTTATAGTCTGTGGGTGTAGCTAGCAGTTAGTTGGCACCAAGTCTTGGATGTAAGAGAACCTTCATCCCAGACTGGCCAGTTTCTCTAAAGTCATCTTTATTCTATGTGCTGGCACATTGCTGTGGTGGTATTGGAATTTGTCAATTTTTGGAGTATGGGAACACTCAAGTTGTGCTAATTCTCTGGTTGGATTCTCTAATGGATTATCATCTATCAGTTGCAGGAGAATGTTATCATTAATGATGGAATTACTGCTTGGATGGAGCTCATCTTGAAGCAAGAAATCTCCATCCTTGAATTTCTTAAACCAATTGTAGCAGGTCTGCCTGTTGACTGCATCCTCACCAAATGCTTTGTAGATGAGATCATGAGCATTTGTTGCATTGTAGCCACTTTTGAAATGATAGAACAACAAGCAAATGTGTTTTTTCAAAAGTTTAATATTTTCAGACATTGCTGATATGTTTATTTCTAGTGAAATATGTGTCCTGTACTCCACTTATATATTCACATAGAATGTCAGAACATTTTTTCCAGTTATTTCTAGTAAAAAATCGAAATGTCTAAATTTAACCTTTACAACCTAATTTGTACATATACTGGTGACTTGATAAAAAGTCTTATAATTGTTATTAAACCAAATTTCTGTTAAATATTCATGTAATTTAATATATAAAGAAATTTTGTTTTATTTTCTCAGGTGTGGATTAATCAAGGTGATATTATTCTTGTGGGTTTAAGAGATTATCAAGATGCTAAAGCTGATGTTATCCTCAAATATAATCCAGATGAAGCTAGGAACTTGAAATCTTATGGTGAATTACCAGATTATGGTGAGCAGCATTTCAATTTATAATAGCATGATAAGTTTTTTAAATTATCAAATNTGAGAAAGTTTGGTCTAATAATCAAATGAACCAATCAATTGTCAGATTATTATTCATTGGTAATTAATTCTGTTCATTTGCAAATAATTTGAGCTTTCATTTATACTTGTTAAATGTAATACTCTAACACTACAACTTAAGCTACGTCATCTTATTTGTTATATAATGGTGCAAATAATTTTAATTTAAAATATTCATAGCCAAAATTAATGATACTGTATTTGGAGATGATGTTGAAGATGATATCATTGAATTTGATGAAGTCGATGGTGAAGAGGATATTGAAAATGTAAGTAGACAGAACTTTCAAAAAATTATTAATGTAATGTAAGAGAAAGCTTATTGATTTATTTATTATTTAAAAATGTCAAAAGAAGTTGTCTTCATAAATTATAAAATTGTCAATATTTCAATAAGATTGTAATATTACACAGAAACATCCCTTATTGATTTTTCAAAATAATTTTTTATTGTGAAGTTATATTTATCATAAGAATTAAAATTTATGCAAACTTCAATTCAACTAAACTTAAATTCCGTGGATTAATCTTAACAATTAATCTTGTTGTTTCAGATTAATTCACAATATAGAATTCTTAGTTGAATAGAAATTTGCATATATAATGCAGTTGGATTATTGCTATCAGATATAATTTATCAATATATTATCCTGATCATTCTCAGAATTTGTATTAATTCAAATTTTGTGTTTCACTAAAATCATTCTTTTTTTTTCTTTTTTTTTTTTTACAGATTTAGAATCTTTGTCTTCCTCATAGGAACAGTTTTTAATAAATCTAGAGTATAGAAATTTTATATTACCCAATAAGGATTTTAGCAATAACTCATAAATTTTCAAGCACTCTGTAAATGTAATCTTCCACATGTTTAGAGACTGCTAACAAATGTGTGTGATAAATGATGTCATATTTTGTCATTAATAGTATAATTAACATTTTTTTAATTCATCAAGAGATTAAAATAATACTGTTTCTAACAAGAAACTCTTGTATATATAAAAAAAAAATATAATACAAACAGTTATAATTCATACTTGTTATAAATTTTATAAAGAAATTTGCAAGTTTTCAAAACAAATTTATATTTTTATATGAAATTATTTAAAAAGAATTATTAAAAAGGAGGAACTAAATCCATTTTTATGCATATTCTGAAATAATAATAATAATAATAATAAAATTTTTGGTTCACAGTGAATACTGCTAAGGAAGAGCAAATTCTTTATTTGTTTGATTTTTAAATATCTTAAGTAATGAAGAATTAATAAAAAAATAGGTATTTAATTTTTATTAATTCTTTATTATATATACTCTACATTGAAATGGTAAGTCATATGAAAAACTTACAAAATGAAAACATTTCTGAAAATGAATGCCATTTCTGGGGAGGAGAAATGCTTACATTTCTTATTCTGTTGTTCTGTGTGTTGCATTCTTAATCAAGTTTTAAGCACAGATTAAAAATTAATTTGTGATTTTTGTAAAGGATAAATTTCAATTTCTTTGGCGTTGGACTTTGATATTTTGTAAACAACATTTCAAAATATGTTATACTCATTTTAGTTTAAAAACCAATTTTTAATATATTACAAATTTATTTTCACTCGAAGTATTGTTAATTTATTATTTCTTTTAAGCTGTTTTATTGTAAATATCTTTAAAGAAAATTTATTTGGAGGAACAAAATTCCTATTTTTATTATCTATTTTGAAAAAATTAGGACTAAATATCATGCAAAGTTGTGATGTTATATAAAAGTGTTGTTTTCATGTGAATTGTTTGAATATTATAAATATTATCTATAGATATTAGTTTTTCTCAGATTTAGTCTCAAAAGTGATAGCTGATTTAACTACCATTTGCTATTTCTTATAAAATTGCTATATTTGCATCCTTATTTAAAATATATTGCTAATGTGTTTTATCAGTGATTTATCTTATTATAAGTACTAAACTTTAATTTATTTTATTGCCTGTATGTTAANTGTAAGTTTGAAGTATTTCAATGTAACTGCTGAGTTTCGTAGCAATCAGTCAAACAGCAAAGGTGTCAATAGCAAACAAACAAACATCTTCATTTATATTAATTATATTATGTATATATATATATTTATATATAGATTAAAATCAAATCAGCTTAAAGGTCCATTTACACACAACAGTGACTTGCCGGCACAGTGCAGTGAATTTTTGCCTGTGGGAAATCGTTGACCTAGTTTTAAACCACCCTGTCCAGATTCGTCAGTCACAGTGCTGTGCAGTGGCAGTTGAGTGACCATATCGTGAAAGTACATTTGACGGGAACGATATTTTCACTGACAGTAAATTTTGTTTTCCAATGGATGACAAACATTTAATTGAAATGGAGCATCAACACCCATGTTCTATTTGATTTATCTCATTCAAAATACATGGACATTGGGCACAAAATGAATATTTTCTCTGTTTTGTTTAATAAAATATGAAATGCATGTTGGGACATTCAAAAATATTCAAAAAATATAGATTCGTCATCTCAATTTTTTATAAAGAGTATGAAACTCCCATTCTGTTGATATTTTTTCCCATGCTTGATGTACCCACTTGCAGTGCTTTCTTGATCGTATTTCTTTTTCTTCTTCATCCAAACATAATAGCCAATTCATCCCAGAAAAGTCCATGACCATTCACTGACAGCACGGTCACTGTGTCGGCACATCACTGTTGTGTGTAAATGGACCCTAAACCAAATATCCTGGGATTGTTTTGGTTAATTTATCAAATTATTTTAAAGTTAAAATTTATTTATTTGTTATGTAATTTCAACTGGAAGTAGATCATGTCAACACTTTAATATTTAGAGTTACACACAACTAATATAAATATATACTATATTAAGTAACTAAAAATGCTGTAAAGTAAACAAAATAAAATGAGATGTTTACTAACACTTTCAGGTGGTTAGCCTATCATCAGGATACTGATATTCCATATAATTGTCATGGAAAATATTACCATAGCATCATTTGTGCAAGCAAAAAGGAAATGATACAGATTTTACTAGAACCAACACTTACAATTTCAAAGCCACATTTTGATTTACTCCATTAAATGTTTAAAGAAATAGGAGTTTGGTTTATTAAACTTGTAAACATAGGTTTTATAAGAACCTATGTCATTTCCTTTTTTGCTATGGTAATAATGATTGCTATGACAATGACAACTATTTGGAATGCTTATAGCTTGATGACATAAAAATGCTAGTGTGAGAATGGGGATTCCAGTCTACTTTGTCTCACGAGGATGGCCGTTATAATTAAGAAGAAGATTCACAAAAATCTTCTTGTCAGTCCTGACACCACTTAGTTTAGCTTGAGGACTAAAACGCAAAGTAAAGTAGAATTTGTATTACTGGAATATAGGAGAGTTGTTTTAAAACATTAACAACATTTTTAAATTAGGTTTAAATACTACACTATTTTACCTTGGGTATGCCAATATGCACATCTTTTATTGATATTTCATCAGGAACATAAAATGTTAATTTATCAGATACTGTTGTAGAATCAAACTGATCATGACCAGCTAAAACGTCTAAAAAGAAAAATGTTTTTTTGAATAAATAAAACAATCATGGATATTTTAAAAACTGTATTTTAGAGTTATGTCAATTGTTGTTTTTAAGAAATAAAATTTTAATTGTAAAGTGTGTTTGTTGTAATAATTGATGAACAAATTAAGTTAAATCCATATTATAAATAAAACAAGAACGAAATTTGAGATTGGAAATTCAAATTTATTGTGTAATTTCATGTATATACATAATTAGACAAGCAAATCAGTATAATTTAAATTTTATTTCTCGTTAAAATGAAAACAAGATGGGGGAAATGTAGAGAGAAATTTCTGAAATTGAATTATGGAGATTAGTTAATAATGCTGATTTTTGATATAATAAATGAGTTGATGTAACTTTTTAGTAACACAGAAGCAGAAAAGTAAAATTTTTCGAACTACCATTCCCATCTTAACATGGCATGTGCCAATACATCCAAATGAAATGTGATCTGCAAATAGAAAAACGTGAAGATAAGCTTAATTAAGTATTTAAAATTGAATTAAATAGACTAGTCAAGAAGCCACTCAACGGATTAACACGTTATCTTAAAAATGTTTCCGTTTTCTGATGCTAGAAGGAAACGTTAATTTTGACATCAAACCAAAGGCTTAATTAATACCTCAAACGATCTAAACGCTTGGGAAATTGTACAAGTAAGCTGATAATAGAAATTATTTATAATTTTAAAAATAGTCTGATGATAAAATACTTCTTTAATTCTAAATTTTCTTATTTTCATTAAAAGCAATATCACAAATAATAATAATATACAGTACATAAGGTAGGTTGCCCTAATAAGGCTCAGTTTATGAAAATAAGTCTGCGCGGACTCTGATAAAAATGTCTATCTGAAAAATAATTTCTAGTATATTTAAGAGAGAGAAAAAGGGTAATCGTGTGTATGTGAAGGAAAGGAGACGCGACATATTCATTAGGGCTAAGATATACAGTGGTATCTCGTACTTCGAACGCTGAATTCGACAAAAATCTGCTTCAAAATCCGAACCATGAGTACAATAAAAAAAAAACGCCCGAAGGGTAAAATAAGATTCTAAACAAAGAATACAATCTCAAATTAGCACTAATGTGTTAAATTTCACAAGTTAAATTATTAGCGAGGTTGAGGCCGAAGTTTTAAACGCGAGAACGTGTACGTCGGACGTTTAGCGTCGCTTTCCTGTAAGCCTAGAAGTTTGACAATGGTGTTTGGAGTGTCGAGCATGATTCCACCGACTATCCAAACACCATTGTCAAACTTTTAGGCTTACAGGAAAGTGGCGCTGAACGTCCGACGTACACGTTCTCGCGTTTAAAACTTCGGCCTCAACCTTGCTATTGATAAATCACACATTACGTTAAGTAACGAAACCTGTTAAAAATACACAAAAACTTTCTGTTCAACCCAATAAATATAACCTTTTCCTATTAAATCCAGAAGTTTATTGTTAGGGCATTTAATTGTGTTAATTTTACTTTAAATTACGTGTATTTGTTGTTTTAACTTTATTGAAATGAGTATTGTTTAGGGTCTAGGAATGGATTAATTCGCTTTCCCTTGTTTATAATGGGAAAAATTGATTCAGAGTTCCAACAGTTTCCTGGAATGAATTAAATTGAAGTACGAGACACTACAGTGTTACTGTTATTTATAGAACTGGATGTTCCTAATAAGGCCTACCGCAATAACGAAGGACTTTATTGAGAACAATATAAACTTTGGAAAACTGTCATAACAAATTTGTTTTTCCAGAGTTAACTATACCTGCTATAGGAAAGAAAACAGGGAAAGAACTAGATTCCTCTCTGTTGGATATGGCCAAGGAACTGGATTCTGTAGAAAAAAAAAACAAAGTCAGGAAATGTAGTTTGCAGGTTTAACATTCCTTGCAGAACTTTAGGAAACTATTTAAAGACAAGTAGAACAGACATAAGAAAGGGGGGAAAAGTCACTTCCTGTACTGCTGTCGGAAGTACAGGAACAGGAGTTGGTACAACGAATTCTAAGTTTTTCACACATTGGAATCCCTGATTCCCAAAACACATAGCCACTGTATTTTCAAAATCAGCAATATACAAACTCCCTTTAATTAATGAAAATCAAGAATGGGTTCATGATGAATGCATTGATTATCAGCCTGAAGATGTTGGATATTTATTCGCCCAAAAGTACGGCAAAAATTAATAAGCCATTGAATTTCAATAGCGAATTTTATTTTGAACAGTGCTCGTAAATAGGCCTAATTTGAAAATTTTTTAAAAGTCATACTTTCATCTAGTCACTAATCACTGCTATGTATATAATGTGGGCCTTATTTGGGCAACGTATTTTATTAGTTTAGTAAGAAATTACTAATATTTTAAATAATATACAAATTTATAACTACTCAGTGTTCTTTATCATTTGTCTAAGAAACTAATCGATTCATTATAGTTAAATCCTTGAGATGATTTATCACATAAAATGCCCCAATTAAAGCATCTGTAATACTAGATCACTTACAACCTATTAATTTCCATAAAGAGGAAATAATGAATGTAATTTTCTGGATTGAAAAATGTTATATCATTCATTGCATTAATTTATCGCTGAAGTTTACAAGCTTGATTTAATTTTTTCAGAATTAATGTTACAATATTTTTATTTATTATTACGAAAATCAGAGTTCAACTAGTAATTGCCAACCCAATAAACTGTCTCTAAAAGCATTACATTAATATCCATTTAATGCAAAGGAGGATTACAATATCTATTATTATAATGTATCAAAATATGTATAGAAATATAACATCGTAATCCGATAACATAATTCAGATTGGTATATCTAGGGTTACGATAACCAAATTATAAAAAAGAGAATATTAAAGAAAGGCTCTGATTTTAAAAAATAAAACAGTATACAAATTTAAACTTTTTAATGTTTTATTTTATAATGAAAAAGAAAATACAGGCATTGCCCGTCTAAACGTAATCCGTTTCTGAAAATCAAATTGTGGGAGAACGTTAACCAGGAGTTTATTTCTCATTATTTTAAATGGGAAAAAATTATAAATACTTTACACCATTAGCCTGAAATCACCAACCAGTTTCCTAAATCGTAACTAAAACACAATGCAATGCCTGTATAAAAGTTACAAACTATCACATGAAGATATACAATGCTTATGTATGCCTACTGTACTTGATAATCATAAAACGAAGCATTAAGTTTCTTTATGCATTAACATTTACAATCTACAAATCTTCATGCCGTATGGCAAACATAGTATTTACGATACAGCACGTAAATAACACACAGCAATAGAGATTCGTTTTAAAAAATAAAGATAAACAGTTTCCAAATAATTGGTCTCGTCTTTCATGTATGTAACTCCGTTCACGAGATTAAGAAAGGACAGACTGACCGACGGACAGAAGACAGTGGGAATTTACAGGTCTACAATTTTTTCAAATTGCAGGCCAACAAATGTTGTCATTTAATACAAATGTCGTTCTTAAATTCTAAATTTTGCTCTTTTTTATGAAATAATATGAAAATTAAAAAATAAATAAATAAAAGTCTTCAGAAAATCGATTATTTTCCAATCAGCACTTTCCCAGGAAATTAATCGAATTTGTGAAGTAATAAATATATATAAATTAAATATACTTTGTTATACTCATTAAGATCTTATTATTGAATGGAATGAAGAAAGAACTCATTTTCTTGGAATACGTTTCAATAAATTTTATCGGATCGATAACATGTAATTATATCATTAATCTAGCGAAAAGATTTTTTTTTCTTATTTTAAATATGACATTATTTCTTTTTCTTTGAAAAATTTCTTAGTTTTATTAAGAAAAAAAAAAATACTTAAGTTTTTCTGTCTTACATTTCCATTAAAAATAACAGCGATGGTAGATTAAAATTTTAATTAGAAAATATGAGATATTTTTATTCGTATTTAAAAGATTTAATTATTTTAATTTGATGGTTAATTTATTCAAGAAAATTAAAAATTAAAGAGTATAATTATTAAAAATTCAATTTACAGATTTATGAATTAATGTAAGCTTATCACTTCCCGAAGTGATTGATATAAGAGATCGTTTTCAATCACTCTGGGAATGTAATAAAACTATAATTAGAATAAAATTTACTTAAATTATCTTTAAAGGCCGTCTACTTTTCAATTCTCTATCGATTGATTCAATAATCATTTCTTAAGTAAATGATTCATTCACTTTAAATGTTGATTATATAATGTTGTATTACTAAACTATCAACATTAAGAAATAATGGTATTCCCCAGGAGTTAAATAATAATATAAAATTAATAAATATGTTTAGCTTATGAAATTAATTTATTACATAAGCTATATACAGGAAATTCCGCGAAGAAGTGGCAATGTTTTTATAACATGTTCTAGAGGTCTAGGAGATAAAACAACATCCATAAACATAGCTCTTCAAATGCATTGTTTCAATGCTAGACTGGTTTAAAGTTCAGATTAGCTATTTTTATCTCTAACTGTTGGAAAATAGCCTCAATCTTGCTGCCTTCATCTTATTACTTTCAGAACCTTATAATTTTACGGAAATACAGCATTCACTTGCATTTCTTGGTATCTTAGTAGAGCAACATGGATATATGAGATAAAAAAGAAGAATTAAAATACTATAGTTTATAGCCTTAAAAATAATTTTGGAATTGAAATTGTGATATTGAAATGTCAAAAATATATTGGCACGCATCGTTATATCGATATTTTAGTCACATTTCAACCATTACAACTAATTGCGATGACATTGACTGACGTGGCTGTTGTATTTCTGTCTTCGCTGTCTAAATTGGATATGCTAGAGAAAAAATAAGGATCTGTTCTTCTTATTTAGATGACAATGAAAACAAAATAAATGTTATTTTATGCGTCTGTCGTATATTGTAATTGAATTTGAGTCTTCGCCATTTGTCGGAAAAAGCTGATGATTGCCTGATATCCAAAGCTTTGATCATAATCAATGGTACCGCATCGTCAGTCGGAAACTCAAGTTTATAAAATATAAATATTCCATTAAATATTTTAATATTTAATTACTTCCAAATTACTGCAAGAGTTCTCGTCTAGATATCTCAAATTGAATCAGAGTAAATATATATACAGTCAAACCTCGATAAAATACCCCCCTAAATGAGGTTATCCTTGTAGAACGGATCTTCCCAATAACTAATTATAAAGTATAGAACCATTAAGCATTTATGAATTGTTAAATGAACGATTTTTTATATCGCAACGATATGAATTTTCAAACTCACAAACTCAACATTGTATATACATTTCGGTATTATATATAATTCTTATTGTTTGAAGTATTTCACCACACGATTTAGTGTGCCGATTTCAGAAGTAAACAAATGGTATCGGTAAATCGAAGTTTGATTGTAAAATATATATTCAGGCCTTAGCTTACATGTAACTTACAACACAGCATATATACTTGTATTGATATGTACTGTACTATATTTATTCTCTAAACTCAACACTACGATTATTTTTATTATACGGTATTTAAAATATAACATTCACGAACTAATACTATACTCCAGAAAAATAATTAAATAAATAAATATATATATATATTATTAATTCACGATCCTCGTCCTTCCGACC